GAATTTGGATATGGTTGGTGAAGAATATGGGTTTTTTTGGTAAAAATAGTATTACATTTTATGAATATAATACTATTAATATAATAATTATTTATTCTAATAAATTATAAATATAATTGCAGGGCACAAGAAATCAAACTCGGAATGGAACACAGATATCCTATTGATAATAACTATAATATGGAGAATTCGAACCGCCAATTGGAAAATTTAAGATCCTTTGACAACTGGAAAATTATCAAATATGATGATATATTATCACTTTATGAATTGTTGCCAGATGAGTTAAAAGAAAAGATAAAGCAGACTATTGGTATGAGAATGCTTCACTCAGCCATCTTACTTGTTACTGTACCAAAAAATCATGATTTCAGATTCCCTCTAGTGACTGAAGTTCTAACCAAACCAGATGAAATTTCAACATTTAAAGATTGTAAGATTTTTGCTTCTGTCTATAACGAGACAAGTAAAGATCCTTTTCTCAATACATATGGAATTTACGTTTATTATCAACACAATGAGGATCCATGCTTTGTTGTTTACCGTACTGGTTCACACAAAATTTCTTCAAAAACTAAACTCTATATACCTTGGATGATATTTGGATATGATAAATTTCCAACTAAACCATTTTCAAAACTTGACATGGAATATATTGAATATATTGGCACTACGGAAGATGCAGAAACAGATATTAAGCTCAAAATGCCTATTAGTAATAATCTTTGTTGGATTGGCACCAGCACTCTATTTTATGATGACAATCAATAATATGAGCTTGGAAAAACAAATGATATGATTGCATATTATTTTTGTTCAAAAAACAATACTTTAGTACAAGCATGTTATATACTTAATCCTGTAAACTCTCCATTAAAAGTTAAATTTAATTATGTGGCTATTTCAAAAAATAATAAAAACTATATTGGACAAACTAATAATGAATGGAAGAGCAGGCAAAGACATTTCTCATACTTAAAAGGAAGGAGTATTTTTACGGGTGAAAAGTGGAATTTGCCTAAGGATAAAAGATTTGCATTTGCAAGTATTTTTTACACAGATTCCGTTCCGATAGAAAAACGTTACTTCTTACTTCTAAACATTAATCCAAAATATCCTATAACTAAGTCATTGACTGAGATAACCGAAAACCCAAAGTGCAGAATTAATTATGTTATATTTCAAAATAGCAACTTCGCTGTTAGAGATCATAATATAATA